TCAGCATGTGCAGAGGCAGAGACAGCAGGCTAGCCTACCAGAATAGCTGTTTCTGTTCTAGCAACCTAACTTCCATTCTGGCAGAGGAGGAGGTGTGGCAACAGCAGGACAAGGTAGAGAGGTGATGGGGCAGAGGGCTAGGCTGTGTGAGAGAGAAAGCGGGCCGACTGAACAGGTCTTCGGCAGGTCCAGAGGCAGAGAAAGCAAACTAGGCTGCTGGAATGGCTGTTTCTAGCAGCCTACCTTGCTCTATGGGCACAACAAAGGGACAAATAAAAATGATAAATATTTGTCTCTTTGTGTTTGTCGAGCCTCTGAAATTGATGAATGTTACACAAATCTGCAATTTCTGATTAATATTGTGATTGTTTTTAAAATTTATCCCTATGTTTATTAATAAGCTACCTATCTGATCAGATCTAAATCATAATTACCTCTAATAGGGAAACTAGGTGATCACATACCCATTAGTTTAGAAATAAAAGCAGTGCTGCTCCGAAGCAAGCCAGTGGTTTCTGCATGTTAACCAGGCTTCTAGATAAGCAGAAGTATCATTTCTAATCCTCCTTCCTGCAGTCAACTCCCCCCTCAAATCAAATACCTATTTAGTTTAGCATTCTGTCTTATACAGTGGCCAGTAAGATGCAAGTGGGAAGCATGTAAGCAGAACAGGGCAACATTATTGCACTGAATTGTATTTACAGATATTGCCTATGATTTTGGAGGCCAGTCATGGTAGCTAGAGCTGTTCTTCCTTAAAATTGTCTATTTCCCCTTTAAATGTGGTTAAGGCGGTTGCCATCACCATGTCCTGGGGAAATGAGTTCCAAGGTTTAACAGCATATAGTATGCAGAATAATGCACAAGGGCTGTTTAAGTAGGGAAGAAGAGACCTACATACATTAGATCAGGGGTCTCAAACATGCGGCCCGGGGGCCATTTGCGGCCTGCCGGACAATAGCCTCCCCTCCCGAAGCACCCACGTGTCCTCTGCTGTCAAGAGTCAAAAAAGCCTCCCCTCGCTTGCTTGCTCGCTCTCTCCCAAGACTGCGCCTCTTGCACCCTCCATCCAGAACTGCAGCCTGACAGCAAACCCGCCTGTCTGCTGCTTGGCAGGCTGCAGTTCTGAATGGAGGGTGCAAGAGGCGCTGTTTTGGGGGACAGGCCAAGTGCCCGAGCCGCTGCCGCGCAATGCCTGAGAGCGGAGCTCGCTCCTGGCCCGTCCTCGAAGAGCGCCTCCAAACCACCACCAGCAGCTGCCGCCACCACCACCTCTTCCAGGGAAGCGGTGCTCTGGCTCTCTTTCTCTTTCGGCACCCCCAGCACCAGCCAGGCCAGCGGTGCTTCCTCCTCCTCCTCCTCCTCTTCGTCCTGCTTCAGCCGCCTCGGATCTGGAGGCTGCCTGGGCTCGCCTCACAAAGTTTGCTCCTCTGTCGTGGTGGAGGTAGCTGCTGTTGCTGAGTGAGCCTTTTTTTGAAGGGGGCTCTCAGAGGAAGGTTGCCAGACCTCCCTCACTTCTCCGCTTCTTCGTCCTGCTGCTGCTGCTGCTGCTGGTGGTGGTGGTAATGAAGAAGGAGCCGGAGGGGGTTGTGGACAGGCAATGAGGGCTTGCGCACCCCTCCTCCTCCTCCTCCTCAGAGCCCCAGCCGGGCTAAGGAAACTCCTGGGGAGCTTCCTCAGGTTCTTGCTCCGCTTGGTGGAAAATCTGATGCGGCCCAGCCTCAGCCAAACTCTGCCTCCAGCGGCCCCCAGGTAAATTGAGTTTGAGACCCCTGCATTAGATGTATAAACACATGACAGTATTGCAATAATCACATTTCAATAAGTTTACAGGGTTCTGGTGCAAGTTAAAGAAAGAAGAATACTGTAAAAGGAAAAGTTGACATTGATGAAGATGTTGACTGTAAGGATATTGAGGCTGAATGAATAATGCGACAAAAAGATTGATGAAGATGTTACTTTCTATATTAATATTTGATTTAAAAGATTGATGAATTCTTTAATGCCATAGTCATTGAAGGAAGGAATAATATAGATTGGTATTCTAGCTATTTACAGATTTATCATTAGCATACACATAAGACTGAATGTTCTCTGAGAGAGAAACTCCAGTGAACATATGAATTATACACATGTGATACCTTACCATCAGTTTCTTGACCTCATTATAGTTTATATTAAAAGTTATCGCCTGGACAATTCTTGGGACACTTCTGAAAATGTAAAATAGCAGAGCTTGGGACATTACTTTTCAAAAGTAACTCATTACATTGCTCCTTAGAGGCATGTTACTTATTGCCATGGAACAAGGAAACTCACTACATTAGTTGTGTGCCATACTCATTAATGTCCACCTTACTTACATAAGATGGCTGTGGAAGAATTGTTCACATTTTAACTGGAAAATAAGAGCAACAAAACAAGTTTGTGCAGTACCTTTATTTTCCAATTAAAAACAACAGAATCCATCTTAGCCGCCTTATATAATTAAGGTAATTGCTTAAGGAGTAACAGAGTCTACATGTGGCTCATTTCCCCCAAAAGGTAAGGTTTGGGCAGTTTCTTACTTTAGGATTTAAAAGTATTGTTGTCTCTAGTTACTCATTCCTTTTCTTTTTATCATCATCCTGAAGCTGGCACCAAAGCAATAAAAATTGCCCCTAATAAGTACGTAATAGTTGCTCTGTTGCTTTTAAATATGTTACCACTAAGCTCCAGTAGTTAGAAATAAGGTGCTGTTACTTGTAACTTAAATGTTCTATCATTGATAATTCACTTTATCTTTTAACTTGTGCTTGAAATTCCCTGTTTGTTAGAGGAGAGGGTACAAGGTATATCTGAATGTACTGTTAGATCTCTGGGTGATTTGCTTTAGACTAGCTAATTAATGTGACTGATTTGTTTGACAACAGCAGCAACAAAATGTCCTCCCATCCTAAATTACTGTTCTAAAATAAAGAGGGTTTGGGTTAAGCAGGAGTGGAATTTTGCATGGAAGGGGTGTAAAGTGCCTTCAGTTCTTGTACATAGAACAAATTTCTCGGTATAGAATTCTTTAATTTAAGATTTGTGTTCACCGTACCAGGCTCTAGTTGGTGGATGTTGGGACTATAGTAACCAACAAGGATCTTCCAAGCCTGAATCCAATCAAGCCTAATGATTTCTGTATTAGTGGACAAACTTATAGAATTTCTCAGTGTACCATATAAGCATGTGTGACTGGAAATGGAAGGAAGGAACACTGGCTTATACAGAAGTAGGAACTGCTGTTGAGTTACATGTAGGCATGAAATTAGGTTTCTGTATACTGTAGATACAACATGAAAAGGTGTCTTCTATTGGGCTTGATGTTTTTCCTGTGAACCAGTGTTTGGAGAACCAGCTTATCAATCTATATTAAGTAACTAAGAGTAATTGCTCTCAAACTTTCTACAATGAACAGAAACAGTTTTTAAAGAAATGGATTCAGAAATGTTATGGTCCAAAATAAAAAGAGTGAATTTTCATCAGAGAAGGTTTGCTCTCTGATCTTATAGCATCAAGACTTACGCAATTGTGGTAAGCTTAGTATTAAAAAGCATGAACCTGATTTCCCATTTGTTACAGTAGAGGTTGAGATTCTACCAGTCTCTCTCTTTAAGCTTTTGGAACTTTTCTTTCACTATAATGAAAAATACACAGTATGTGTTAAGTGTGTATTAAGCATATTAAGGCTTTGTTTCCTCTTAAAAACATGGAAACGATTTTTACTACACTATACAATAAGACATATCAGACTTGTTGAATAGTCTTTTGTGTCTAATAGAAGGCTAGACATTGTTTCAGGGCATTAATATTCAACTATCATTCTGATTTTTTAAAATGTTGGAGTACAGTTAGGTCATACCAGCTTTTATGGGAATTTACATGTATGCTTGTATTCCTTGCAATGAAATAAATACATGCTTCATTTTGTACGCAGTATGAAATGTTACGCTTCTGAAAAATAGTTATTTACATAGTGTATACACATGCTTAAAATACTATTCATGGCTGTTTATCTTCATTCAGAATACCTGAATGCCTTTTTATCTTCAATCAGAATATTGTATGTTTATCCATAGGTACAGTATGTATACATTTGTAAATACTGTTCCATATCCGTATTTATGCAACTTCATCTTCGAAATTTAAATTATTTTGAATTTTGAAAATGGGTAGAACAAGGACACTGACAGAGGCTGTGACTAGACAGTCAAATTGGAGTGCGCTGGAGTGTGTTAAGTAGGGTTCTTTAAGGTTGCATAGAGGGGTAGTATGCTTAGTACATACTTTGCATTCATACACAAGAATTGGGACGTTTCAGGTCAGAAAGCCAGACCACAGTGTAAGTGACCCTATTTGGCCCTTCTTCCCTTTAAAATGGGCTAAGGAAAAAATAACAAAAAAAAAAGATGATTTCTTCTTCCTCTATCCATGAATTACCAGGAGAAGGCATTTTATTTGTTTAAAGTAGCATAGCATATCAGCGCTGCTTTATAAGAGGTTTTTTTTTCAAAAAATGCCTTTGCTTCCTCTCTCTCCTGCTCTATAGAGGAGTGGGAGGAAGCTTTCAGTTTTCTAAGACTGTGAAGCAGCTTAAGCAAAGAGCTTAATCTATCCACTTTGGTTTAATTCCAGTGATCACACATGCTGGAACGGAACCAAAGCAATCCTACCAGGTACTGGCTGGTTTGCAAATGACCCCATACGTCATGTGGTCACCAGAAAAAAGAGTGAACCAGCCTGTCCCGAAACTGGACCAAACCATAGAACAAATCACTATCTAGTCACAGACATACTTCAAATATAATCTCTGCTTAGAAGACGAAACCGGACCAAACCATAGAACAAATCACTGTCTAGTCACAGACGTACTTCAAATATAATCTCTGCTTAGAAGACACATTCCACTTGTTCAAGGGGGGCAGTTGTATCAGAGCATATCTTGGTAAAATGCTAAAAACATTTGACTTTTACAGTTACATCATCTTCAGCAGTCTCCAACCATAATGTTGCATCTGTGATTGTGGCTGTAATAGAAGGAAGAGGTCTTGCTAGAGGTGAAGTAGGAATGGCAAGTATTGATTTAAAAAATCCAGAAGTTGTACTTTCTCAATTTGCAGACAATACAACCTATGCCAAGGTAAATCTTAATTATTTTCTATTGCTGTATAAAAATCCCTTGCACTGAAATCAATAGAAATAGTAAGTCTTGTGCATAAAATTGTTGCCTTCACCATAGAGGACTGGGATACAGTTCTAAAGTTGTTTGATTGTTTCTCAAATGCATTGTAATTGGACTTAACTAAAAAGCAGATTTAAAATATGTTAGTTTTTATGTAGATGCCTCACTTGTGACAGAGGAAATCTGAAGGAATGTAAGGAATAAACTCATAACACTGAAATGCCACAGCAGTAATTTCTCCATACCCAGCAACTAGAGTGGTTTGAAGATGAAGGAAAAGGAGAAGAACTGGTCATTTATTTATTTACTGGTTGCACTTACTGTATTTCCTGCCTTTTCTCCAGTGAGCTCAAGGGATCTTCTGTGGCTTTCTCTCCACTTTGTTCTCAGAACAAAAGCCCTGTGAGATAGGTCAGGCAGAGAGTTTTACTGGCTCAGTGTTACTCCTCTCCATTTGTCGATGCTATTACAATCTTTATCTCACAAGCCCAATCAAACACTAACTAGTATGTCACACTGCCATGATGAGAGGTTTTTTGTAAGAAAAAAACTAAAAAGCAGTTGTGAAGGAGTGCAGGCAATGAAGATCTGATTCCCACGTTGTCCATGAAATCTTTTGCACAAGCCCACATTCTTATTCTCTACTAAACGTAGGGAAAGTAAGTATTATTGAACTGAGCCCACGTTTACCTAGATGTACCCCTCACTTCAGTCTTCTGTCCTATATTCTCTGACTCTTCTGTCAAATCCTAGGTTACAAGCTATAGGGCCAGATCCAATTTCTTGTTATATTGCAGGATGCAGTGCACATGGAATGACATGGTAATGATGTTGGTAATAAAAACAACTTGGATCAGTATCTGATTGAACTCAGTGGGAGTCCCATTACTGTAGTTACAAGAGATTGTGCCACTTATACAGTGGTGCCTCGCTTGATGAGGTAATCCGTTCCAGCAAAATTGCTGTAGAACGAAATTGTCATAAAGCGAAAATAAAAAGGCCATTGAAATGCATTAAAACCCGGTTAATACATTCCAGTGGGTGAAATACCTGAAGATCATCCATAGGGCAGCCATTTTCCAGTGCCTGTAATGCAAGGAATCCATCCTAGAACACAGCGGGGAGCCATTTTGCACAGAGGGCAGCCATCTTGATAAGCTGTTTTGATTGCCGTTAAGCGAAAAATCGGTTCCCGAAGCAGGGAACCAATCATCGTCAAACGAAAAAACCCCGTTCAATCAAACTAGTTGTCAAGTGATTTCCTCATCTAACAAGGTAATCTTCAAGCGGGGCACCTCTGTATAAACATTACCATTGCATAAGTGCAGTGAAATGTCTGTATGGAAACCACTAATTGTGCAGTGCACACTCCCTTTTTATGACACTGGCAGTACTTTCTGTTCAGCAGGAACTCAATAGAATGCTGACCTTGATATGGCTTTGAGACTATTCAGATAAATGTTTTTACCAATCTGTATTTCACATTTTGTAGGTTATCACCAAACTCAGAATTTTGACACCCTTAGAAATAATAATGTCAAATACTGCATGCGATACAGGCAATGCAACAAAATTGTTCAACTTGGTAACAGAAAATTTCAAGGTAAACTGAAGGAGCATTTATTTAACATTTTAAAAATAATGGCCAAAATCCTGTTGCCCAATTACAGTTGCCCAATTACAGTTTGCGGAAGGCGAACTGTAATTTGTAGCATGTTCTTATAGACAATTAACAAATCCCTGATTGGATTTTCCAGCAATTGTGTCCCACTGGCTTCACTCAATCCAGAAAATCAAAGTGGGGACTCATTGTTTGCTTTCCACAGGTGTAAACTAAACAACAGGATTGTGGCCAGTATTAAACGTGCATTTCAGCAAACATTGTTTTAGTCATAGCTCAGCTATGTGAGTTTTTTGTGGGATGTTCTGGAAGACATTGGAGTGAAAAACAGACATAAATACATTTTCTGAAAAGTAATTGGGGATTTGTCAAGGGACTCTGAAAAGGAGATGGCATATACTGTACCTTAGGCAGTAACTGTTGAACCAGTAATCTAAAGTACATGGCAATTTGAGCAGCATTTCTGGTTTTGTTGCAGTTAATTCACGGTACATGTGTGCCTTTGAATCGCATCTGTAGCAAACTATAAATATTCACAATAGATTTCTATCAATATTTTAGCTTCAGCAACTATGGGAAAAATCTGTTGTCACATTGGATCAGCTTCTGTCAAAATTCCTGTTTTGGTTGTTTTCCAGAATGTTGCTTTTACTACAGTCCAGAGAAAGTACTTCAATGAAACTAAGGGTTTAGAATATATTGAACAGTTATGCACACCTGAATTCAGTACTGTTATTATGGAGGTTCAGTCCAAGTAAGTGTATAAGAGAAATTATGTTTTTATGAGTAATACCATTATCTGTGTCACAGCTAATAGCTGCTTGCTAATAAACTAAGAAGCTTCTTAGATGCCAAATTAGACAATAGAGTTTGCACCTCATTAGAAGGTAAATTCTTGAGAGATAAAAAAATATGTGTTTATCCATGACCTTTGTTCATTTTTTAAAAATGTAGACTTCATTTATAAGTCTGATGAGGTATGCAGAAAGAAAGTGCGTTAGTGAGCAAAACATGCCCCTGTTGTTTCTTAAGTGATCTGAAATGTTTTATTACGGTCATTGACCAGCAAAGTGTGTTAGTGAGGAAAACATGCCCCTGTTGTTTCTTAAGCATTTTTCCCCTGTGATCTTAGCTTTCTGTTTTTGATCAACAGTATCGTATTTTAAAATGTTTAGATTAATATATTAATGTTTATATTAATTCACATGTTATTTAAAGGGATGCCAGGCAGATTTTGCTCCGCTGTTTTGAGCAAGCCATTCTGAGACCAAAAATTGAGTTAACCCTCTTTTCATCAAGTTTGTTTTAGGAGGAACCAGACACTGAAATCTCATCCACACACTATAATCTGACACTCCCTCAATGCTTTCCATCACACAGTTGCTTTGCATCACACCTTCATGGCCTTTCCCCCACTCTCCCCACCCTTTAGAGTATGACAAGGGAGCCACAATGGAATAAGAAAATTTCCTAAAGAGACTAATAACTGAGCCCAGCCATTTAAGAAAACAAGAAACGAAAACTATTTTGTGTACTTCTCCCGGCAGATCTGAACAGCCTACTGCTAAAATGTGAATGCCTTCCAGACTAATATTTCATGATATTATTGAGCTGAGAAAAACTAAAGTTTTCCTTATCAGATATGAGATGCTATAAATTGATTGTGTAGTGCAATACTGTACACATTCCCACATATTTGTACCTTCACCAGTAACCACTGTACAGTGGTGCCTTGTATAACGAGCGCCCCGTTTAACGAAGAATCCGCATAGCGATGGCTTTTTTGCCATCACTTTTGCAATCGTATTACGATGTTGCCTATGGGGAAATGCAGGCAGTAGCTCAGCTGGGGGAAATGCAGGCAGTAGCCTCTGAAAGACCCTTCTGAAGGGTCCTTCTGAAGCAACCGCCGGGATTCCCGTTCGGAGGGGGCATTTTCCCCGAGCCGAGCGGGAGCCCCGCTGCTCAGCTGGGGGAAAATGCCGAAGGGTCCTTCTGAGGCCACTGCCTGGATTCCCCTTCGGATGCCTGAAAGGCATCTGGACCCCTGCCGCCGCCGCCGCTTGGATCCGCCCCGCGGCCGGTTACCCTATCCATGGCCGGATCCCCCCGCCGGCCGGTTCTCTCAGGAGTCC